GTAGACCACACCGGCACCATTCACAAGGGCAACGATGGCAAATGGGAGTATGAGGTTTCATCGACGTGCACAGTCTTCAGACGGTGTAAACAGGACTGTCAAATCACAAACAGTCAGAGGAAACGGACACCAGGGTGGCAGGGAGCGGAGAAATGATAGCCTCAGCAGTGACAACCAATTTAGGCGCCGGGCTCGGGACGTCGACAACCGTGGTACTGAAAGAGGACAAAGCGAGTCGAGCTCCAGCGCAGTCAACGTCCACATCATGTGTAGAAAGGAAGTCCCAACCGAGGATCACGTCATGGGACGCATGTGGTAGGACAACAAATTCCACAATGTAGAATGCGTCATTGATAAAAAGACGTGCTGTGCACGCCACCTCAGGCTTAACGTGCTGCGAGCTCGCCGTCTGTAATAAAAGATCAAAAACGGACATTGTCACTTCCTGCAGTTTGTAGGCATAAAAGTTCACTTAAAACAGAAACAGCAGCTTCTGTATCGACAAGAGCATTCGTCGCGACACCATCAATAATAACCGCGATCTCATTCGGAGGTGAAAGATGAGGCTTTGAAATTTTCGACGAGGGTGCAGTTCGTGCCTCAGGAACTGCGGCTCTTAGTTTTCCTCTTGCGTGGGGTTGGTACGGTGGAGCATAGGAGAAATGGAGCGGCGCAAGAGAGAAAGAGATCGACGTGAGGGGGGAACCGGCACGGCGCGAATAAGCGCCCGATGAGTCGGCGGAAACAGGGTATGCTGGCTGCTGTGGCATGTTATCGAAGTTGGGGATGTAATCATTTGCACAAAGATTGCGCTGATGACGACAGTAACGCGCAACATAGCCAGGAATGTCGCAGGCGTAGCAGATTGGCCTGTTGTCTGGAGTGCGTCAATGGTTGTGAGGTGGTCCGGGAAGCGAGAGGGGTTGTGCGAGAGCAGGGCGTATTGGGTGAATAGGGCGTGGTGGGGAGTAGAAGTTGGTGGCTGGGGCGGATAGTGTTGGCTTCGGTCGAGCGTAGGAATGGGTAACGTTGCATAGGTTGCATAAGCCTCAGCATAGGTGAAAGGTGCTGCAGGCTGTGTTGGTGGCACAGGAAATGGAACTGCCTCAGCAATTTGAGCCTGAATGACAAGACGGAGCGAGTGATCTAGTGCCGTGGGACTCTCAGTGACAGACGTGAGCTGACGAGCTACTCCCTCATAGATATATTGCTTAATTTGCAGCAGTAAGGTGGAATATTCAGCGGCAGTGCTCTTAGCTTCCAAAGATGAGAGTTCGCCGTGGGAATTCCGGCGCGACGGGTAGAAAGGCGCTCTTTGCGCAGCTTGTCAAAGCTTTGGCACAGTTCAATTGCTTGCGCTACTATCTGAGGGCGTTTCAGACAGTAGCGTCATCTATGCCTTTCAGTATGTGCCTTATTTTGTCAGACTCCGCCATAGATGCATTCATGCGCTTACACAGGTCGATGACGTTTTTAATATAACTCGTAAACCTCGCACTGTTCCTTTGGGCTCTGGCACCGAGGCGATGTTCGGCGCGAAGCTTGCGCAATCCAGGCCGGCCGAAGAATGAAGCGATGATTTGCTTGAATGCCGACCAGGTGGTGAACTCGGCTTCATGGCTGTAGTACCATAGCTTCACCACATCGGTCAGATAGAAGCTGACGTGCATCAACTTAGCAAGGTCATCTTATTTGTTGGGACCGCTAACACGCTCAAACTCTACCAGCCAGTCTCCGACGTTAAGTTCGTCGGTGCCGCTGAACATCGGAGGGTCATGTTGACGAAGCTTCCCAGCACACATGACCATAGGTGGTGCTTGGGAAGGAGCGGCGTCCTCGGCCATTGCGGGGGCAGATGGTAAAGTCCGGTTGCGGAGCTCCAAGACGAAAATGAGAACGACCCAGCAGCTCTCCACCAAGTGTAACAAGCATGTTCTTCGGAGGACTTCCAGCAAGAAACTCGCCAGGAGAAGCATGACAGCTGCAGCACAGAAAACAGGAGGCCGAGAGCGCGACACACAAACGTCGTTGTCTTTTCTCTCACTGGTGCTCAACTAGCGCCGATGTGCACCGGTACAATATCTATATATATATTGCTATGGTATGAGCTGGGCTGTAGTATGTGCCGGGTAGGTAGAAGAGAAATACGACGTTGGCTGGTGCGGCCTGAGGACTCCATCCACTCCCGAACTTCATCCTCACCCTGTAAATAAATCCACCTATCCTTTAATTCAACCGTAATAGTTTTGTGGTGGAGGTGCTGGGTACATCTTCGTTCAGGTCGTAATAGGTGTTGGCTGGCTGATGGAGGTAACTGAAGCGGTCTTCGTACCTCGGCAGCGGGCTAGTTATTGCGCTGTGACCTCGGTGGTGAGGGTGGCCTGTAGTGGTCGTCATCGTTGCCTGCTGCGGCAAATGACACGGAAGGGCGAGAGGGAGGCAGTGCGGGTGTAGCTTCGTACGGCGTCGGGTGAGCGTGTCGAGTGAGCTCTTCTCGAACGATCTGGTGTATTGTCGACGCGAGATCAAGCGGCGTGTATTTGTCAACACTTGCCACAGGGGTTAGATTCGGTAGTCAACCGAACTTGGGGGTGATACGTCGCATCTTTAGGGTCTCGAATGTGCGACAGTGGCTTATGACGTCGGTTACCGTAGCAAGGCTGTCTTTGCTGATGAGGAACTGATACACGTCCTCGGCAATGCCCTTCAACAGGTGGCCAACTTTGTCTTCCTCTGACATAGAAGAGTTGACAATCTTGCAGAGCTTCAAGATTGCCTCGACATAGGTCGTGCACGTCTCTCCTGCGATCTGAGCTTTCTGCAGTAACGTTTGTTCCACCTGCTTTCTCTTAGCTACGGAGTCTCCGAAGCACGCTCTTATTTCGGAAACGAAGCGATCCCATGACGTGAGGGCATCTTCGTGGTTCTCGTACCACACGAATGCTGTGTCCGTTAAGAAAAATACTACATTGGTCAGCTGGGTCGCCGCGTCCCACTGGTAGTATTTGCTCACCCGTTTGTAGTGTGTGAGCCAGGCATCCACGTCCTCGCCAGATTCGCCACCGAATGTGCGAGGCACTATCAGATCCTGACGCAACCAGGGACCAGCCGCACGCGAACCTGGTACTAGCGGTGCTGCTGGGACTGGTAGAAGGTCTGCAGCTGCGGGGATCCGGTTTTCTTCTTCGCCGTGAGACATCTCAGCTGCCAGTGGTAACGAGGGCAGTCAAGCAAGGCGGCGGCTTCGTCGTAGATCAGGCGCTCGAAGCGTCGTGTTGCTTGGTTGATTACCCAGCGCCTCCACCACAAAATTGTTACGGTTGAATATATATATATATATATATATATAGTAGGAGTAATAATTCAATGGGCCAGTTAGCCTTTCGTGAAGGTGTGGGATATGGCACAACGGGAGCGTTGTCAACAAGGATAAATATATTTATTTCCCAACAGTTTCGGTAGGGGTCCTCTCTTCATCAGGGAATGAGATTATATATATATATATATATATATATATATATATATATATATATATATTAGGAAGTAGAGGACGGGCAAAACAAAACCTTTTTATTTTTCCTACGTTTCAGCCGGTCGCCGGCTGAAACGTAGGAAAAATAAAAAGGTATCTGAAAAGGTATCTTCGTATCTGAATCCAAAGACACCTTCTTTTTCATATATATATATATAGAGAGAAAGAGACAGACAGATGACGTCAGGTACGAAGGAGGGACCGTTGTATTGTCATATTCAGCAGTCGTATACCTTCATCATCCATTCATGTCATGTACGTAACATCGACTTCAATATATGTGAAGCTAGCAAAACCTCCGCGAGTGCACTGTGAACGTAACATGTAGTCATGTTTTACACGGCACGCGTCATGATTATCATGTTTGGACGTATCACTTTCCTTCGTCGTCCGTTCACGTCACGTAATACCAAATTCGATACATGTGAAGCTAATGAACGGCCGTGAGCGCATTATGAGAGTGGTATGTAGTCATGTTCTTACATGACATGCATGTCATGATTATCATGTTTGCACTAGTCATATACTTTCGTCAACCATTCATGTCACATAATACCAAATGTGGTGTACGTGAAGCTAGCAAAACGGCCGTGAGTGCCCTGTAGGCATAGCATGTAGTCATGTTTTACATGACATGCACATCATGATTATCATGTTTGGACGTGTCATTTACCTTCATCGTCGATTCACGTGACATAATACCAAATTTGATATATGTGAAGCTAGTGAAACAGCCGCGAACGCATAATGAGCGTGGCGTGTAGTCATGTTCTTGCATGACATGCATGTCATGATTTTTATGTTTGGGCCATTCACTTACGTTTTCCATGCAGTCGTCACATACCGTACCAGTTTTGCAATATGTCATGTCAACAAAACCACCGCAAGTGCAGCAAGACCATAAAATGTACCCATGCAATAATTTTCATGTTATTACTAGTGAGCTATGCTCATCGTACAGTCATGTTATGCCATATCAATTTTGGTACAGATCCCATTATCGAAACGGCTAGGAGAGCTAAATGTCGTTGGTGGCTAGACAGACAGACGGACAGACAGATGCATGTGGTCAAAGTCGTCAAAGATCTCTAAGAAATGCTTCACATTTAATATCTGGGGTTTAATGTCTCAAACCCAAGACATGATTTTCAAAGACAACGTACTGGAGGGCTCCGGAAATTTTGACATCCTAGGGTTATTTAACGTGCACCTAAATATAAGTACATGGGCCTTGAACATTATCTCCTCCATCGAAAATGTAGCTACCTCAGCCAGGATTTCATCCCACAACCTTCAGGTTTAGCAGTCATGCACCATAACCACTACACGGCCAGTAACAAGGTGCTTGAGGTTGAAAAGAACGGAACAAGATATATCTGAAAGAAAGCAATTTCCTTGACAGTAAGTGATAATTGCTCTTCAAAAGAGATTCATTCTATAGCATGCATGCACATCAAAGCTTGCCTACTGTCGCCCTTCTCTTGCATGCAGAGTTTCTTCTTTGAAAATATGTGTGAGTGCTGCTTGTTCTGAGTTTTCTTCGGTGGTTCTAGAGAAGTCCTTGCGTGGGCAAAGGATTATCTCTTTTCTTTTTTTTCGCGATTCTCCGTCTTAGGTGCGTTATCTTTGCCGATCCTTGCACTTGAAAAACGATGTTGACAGATGCACTCCAGGACTTGCTGGGCTTTCCCTACAGGGTTTGCGGAAAGATCATATTCATTGTGCCATAGTATTTCAGGCTATCTCTTTCTATGTCTGTCATGGGATACATACATAAGTTGTTTGTTTGGGCGTCACGTGGTGAGTGAAATTTTTTATTTTACTCAAAATTTTAAGACTTCCTTTTTTGTATGACAGGATTACTTTATGATAACTGCGGTTCCTACAGTTATCACTTTATATCATTTTTTTGCTGAGTAGGTTTGGTGTGCCTTTGGCATTTTGTAGGTTCTTTCTTTTTGTTTACAAACAGCATTGACAGGTGTTCTTCTGTTGAATGTTGCAGGGAATTTAGGGATTCTCATGACAAAAAAGGAACTTGTATCATCAGGTTGGGAGACTTGTGCGTGAATGCATAAGTACCCTCTGCCATTATGCTGAATGTGCTGTTTGGCCAGTGTAGCTTAGGCCATTCAAGTTTGATGGTGCTCTGTTTTTGCCTACAGTTGCACCTACACGAAAAAAAATCTTTTTTTAACCTCGAATTTCTTGAAAATAACTGTATAATATTGACAGAAAAACCTGCCTTCTATTTTAGATCAATCTTCATCTTGAAACTTGAAACTGCTGCATGAATGATGCTAAAGATGTGTTTTGGTGTTCGGTGAGGGTTCCCCTGCTGTTTTTATGCCTTATTCTTTAGGCCTTGTCCCCTCATTCATTCAGTTTCTCCACCTGTTGATATACCCTGTCCCACTTTCTGAACTGTCCTTCTGATGCCTCGACCGTGTCTCCAGTTCTTACTGTGCTTATTTCTCTCCTATCTGTTTCTCTGCCATGTGAGCAGATCACAAGGTAAAGCCACTGATGTGCACTTGGTGGCTAGGAATGTAATCAGCAGATCAGTGAGCATCTGCAGTTCTCCTGCAGAGTAAAAAAAAAAGATGAGAAAAGAAAATGCTGCGTGTAAGCCAGATAGTTAATAAGTTCTTATGAAAACTGCTGTGGCTCTATGACTGGTTCTCATGCCCTGTTTTTATTGCTCTTTCTCTTTGTTAAGGAAAGGTCTTGCCTGTGTATGTACAGTGGATGTGCTTGCTTAGTAGAGTTCTGTGTATATTTGACTTCATATACGATCCAATTCATATAAGATCTAAACAAAACAAAAAAACGAAAGCTTGGTGGTTATAGTTGCCCAACCAGGTCACGCTTCCCTTTTGGTGGGCGGGTCACTTTCGCAGTCTTGCTCCCACCATGCAGGCATCTTATTCACTTGCCCCGAAGCAAGAGGTGCTTGTCCAAGTAGGAAAGAAAGCTCTGCAGAATGAACTTACACTCTGAAAATCAAATTCTGCATGAAATAAACAGGAAACAACTTTGGAACAGTGACAAGTTTAGACTCTCATGCTCTGTAACTTGCCAGCTATGTGGCACAAATCATGTTTGAATCTGGTCTTGACCAGATAGGTAGCAAAAGTCATGGCCTATCACATCGATCACACAAAGTAGTTTGCATTACCATTACTCTAGAGCACCAAAGCAATACTCACAAGGCTGGGATATCATGCATCGTTTAGCTTTATTTCTTTACCCAGGTTTTTTTGCACATGCTATACTCTTGTTGCTTTTGTTTAATACCGCAGACCTGCTTGGATTCATTTTGTGTGGGACCGATAGAAAAAAAGTGATGCTCTAGCCAGGAAACATGCAACACGAACGATAAAAAAACTGACACTTTTTACTGAGAAGAATTCATTCATTAATTTATGGTTCAAAGAAGCCCTTCATGCATGTCTGGCATGCCTCGCATACATCTGTCATAACTCGATCTTTTTCCAAGCACTCGTGCAGCAGTCCACATCCTAAAGTTTATTGACATACTTCTTCAACGCATTTAGCTCTGATACTTTGAAATGGTGTGAGGCACGAATGTCGTGTCAAAGAAATGTGAAATGAGCATTCTAATACACAAGTACCTGTAGATTTTTTGCTAGGCCAGAAACACTGTACAGGTGAAATATGTAAGTAAGGAACACATAGACAAGGTTATACTGCATGTAACATAGTATGACATGATAGATTTTCGCATGCAGATACAAACAGAGGTAAGATGATAGGCACAAGTGGACTATCATCTTACCTCTTTTTCTTGTTAGCCAGTAATATAATCTTTAAAACTAAAAACATTCGTGCTATGCCCACTACTGCCAAATTTTTCTGTCGGTCGACTCTTGCATTGGTGCTGGCCTTCACAGGCTGCATTCACTTGTATTGTTCGTGCACTGCTACTGACTTTTTTGCAATTTCAAATAATGCATTCCATATTGTCGAGTATCGTGATCACTTTTGTCTTCACAGTTCACTACAAGGCTCGATAGATGAAACTTTTCCCACACTTGACAAAGGACACTTGTCAAAGTTGCACTCGGCAAAACCAAGTTGATTTCCAAGATTCGACGCAGTCAAGGTCGCACACTCCGCTGCCACAATCTCCCAGTGTTTTTTAAGTGGCTTCTAGATTAACTGAACTGAACTTTTCCATGCAAGCAAGCAATTTTTGTAAAACCGTTCGCCAGCTTACAATAGCTGCTCCGGAGAATAGCCATGCGTGCAATGCAAGCAAAGAATAGAATGAGGCCAAACAAGCAAGATGGCAATACACTTCTCGCCAATATTCCTGGGCCTAGTCCCCACTGATTTCATTGCTACTTAATGTCCTTTGGTTAAAATGTGGTAACCTTTACATCTCAAGCTTCAACGAGTAAAAAAAAAAGGGAGAGGGGGGGGGCAGAATAGCACTAGTTTCCAGTAGTCTGTACAAGTGCTAGATTTTCAGCTCTAAAACAAGCTATTCGTGCTCTCTTAAAACACCGTTCGTTCGTTGAAGCGGCACTTCTATGCAAAGGCCAGGCCAGATAGAAATAGGAACACGAAAGAAAAAATGTACATCAAACAGGAAAGGCATTTCTTTATAAGAAAACCCACTTACACACACAGATACAGAGCTCACAACACTTCAGTTCGGTCACAGGACGCAGACAGAGGAACAGCTACTGTTTCAAGAGTTTTTCCCATCCTTCCAGTCTTTTCATCTTCATTTGCTGTGCTAGCAAGGGCAGCCATGGGGGGGGGTATTATCAACGGAGCACATCTGACCAGAACATGACAAAATATGGAAGAAAAAAAATGGTTCAAGAAAAAAGCTTCCAGGCACTTGGTCAAGGGTTCGAATGCCTGCATTTGGCGAGCACAAACTCACTTCGTGAACTCCTCAGTGCTCTACTAAAGGTACGTCGACAAACGGTAATGGCGAGTGGCAGGCAAAAAGTTGCAACACCGAGCACAGTTAGCAGCGGTGTGTAAAAGTGCGGCAATGAGACACCGTTTTATATACTGCGCATGGCAGGCAGCATAAAATCAACACTCCCTGATCCAGGCATGATGAACGCGACTTCCGCGCCAAAAAAATTGAAGCAACTTTAACTCCGAACGTGAATTGTTCTATTCAACTATGTCTTTGAATCTGAAATAATCGCCATTCATCATAACTTTTGTGTATTTTAATGGGTAAACATGATGCAATCAATTATAAAATTTTTGTAAATGTGCAAATAATGTTATCGCCACTGGCAAAGTAAAGGCATAGCCTGCGAGAACTTGCATTATGAGAACTCATCATTTCTTCCTTTATGTGTGCTTTAAAGAATAGTGCACCTTATTGTACTGTGTAATGCCAAATGCTTTTCTACATCATTTTCATCAGCATCGCGTTATGTTAATCGAGCAGCTGCTGAGCGGTAGTCAGCAGGCGAAATCTCTGCAAAATGTCAATGATGTCATCATTGCTAGCTGAAGCAGCTCAAAGCTAGGCTACAGTGGTGTGAGTGTCGAAGTTGGGGTGCCCTAAATAATGTCAGTGTTGTGACATACAGCATATAATACTGTAAACTTCATGTAAACTTCAAAATTAAGGGAAATTACCTTCGAAGTTATATTTGTTGTTGAGATTTGGTACACAACATACGCATGTTCGTGGTAATCAATCCCACAGTTCGCTTAGAAATATTGTGTGAGCACCCCTTTATGTTATATTGTTTCATGCATGGACGCAGTATAGAGCCTTTGTAAAATAAAACTAGGGCAGCAACTGGGGTGGCTAGATGTTTCAACGCTATGGCATTACTGCACACGCTTGGTGAAAAACCAATTCATTTAGTCATTACATTCTGGGAAAGCTTAATTGATTTCCTTTGATACCATGATAGGTTTGTTAATTTATGTTTTGACAATGTGGAATCCTATGAATAGTTGCTACAAAATGGAAATTTTTTATTTAGATTAAGAAATTTCTTAGCTTGGGTTTTGTAAGATTGCGTTTTTTTTTTTTTTTTTTACTGCACTTCATTGCACAGTCATTATGGTCATACGCCAAAGTCTTTCTTGAACCCCTGCCAGGGAAAAAAGTTGTGTCACAATGATAACTGCAGCAGTCTGCAGTTGTTAAACAGGTTGCATACTACACAAGCACAAAGGAAAGAAGCAGGAAAAGACAAGTAGTGCAGTTCGCTACCCAGTCAACGACACTTTGGACCAAATAGCATGCAAGAAAATATTATTGCATTACTAGTTTGTAAAGATAATCTCATTGTGGCCAAATAAAAGGAGCAACAGCACAGGAAGAATTGGAGACAGTAACTCACAAATCTGGTTTATGCTATAAGAATAGTGGCAGCATACACAACTACAAGTTAAACTCTTTTTGAGAGACACATGGTAGAGCAGTTCCTGTTTCTTATATGCTAGGTCTCTTACAAGCATGGTAGCATGTCCTCATTTTCTGATGAACCCTTCATTTTGACGTAGGCA